CCTCATGTCATGCATGTAGCTCCGCATCCACTTATGTCATTCCGTCTGTCTGTGTGTCTGTCTGTCTGTCTGTCAGTCAGTCTGCTAGTCTGCATGTGTATGTAAGTGTGTCTATTTTTGTGTCTTTGTTGTCATTTGAGACGGACACTGCTCATTTTGTCCATCTCTTTCGGCCGTAGTCCTCACTCACTCCCGTTTCAGGTCACCATGCACATTTATCTGCACATTCACATGCACATGCACATGCACATGCACCTGCATACGTGGTGGGACGGTTGACGGTGGCCGGATTACCGAGAGATCCGGCCCTACAGGGTGCACAGGCTCGATCATCCATGGAGCCGGGCTGCCTGAGCACAAGGTGGGAAACGGAGATGCTGCGGGAAGGCGACTGGAAGACAGCGACCGACATGTACAGACAGACTTACTCCCAGCCAATAGCAGGCATCGAGATGGGGGAAGAGGAGACAGACCCTCGCCTACCTGCCGTATAGAAACTGTCGCCTGGGCGACAAAGATCAATACCTTCCGATAGTCGTTGGGCCGAAGAAAACGCGAGACTCGACTTTCTCTATCGTCCAATGATCGAGACAGACTGATGGCCACTGAAAAAGCTGGCTCTGACCCCGACAGACAACCGCCTACAGGGACGCCAAGTGTGGAGAATAATCGGCGTTTTAAAGCTCCCATTGCAAAGCGGTTGGTCCGTCGGGAATCTGGAGGAGAAGAATCAATAATTCGCCCTAAATGGCTCGGAAAAGGATAGATGGATAGACCAAACTTATTTTCTCTATTTAATCTCGTTGCCTCCCCGTCAGAAAATTAATCCATAAATCTATTAAAACTCACTACTCACAATTATTCGAGAAATTTACTGATTTTTTTATGCTTTTGTGCTAGTCCCCAAAGTCGTCGTTAGCTAAAGTTTACAAAGATACTACGCTTATTTTGCTAATGGAAATTTTTACCCTTACCGATGAGGCGTGGGCCCGAAAGAGACTGTACAGCCGCAATTGAGCGTTAAATTAAGAGATCAATTCGACTAAAGTATTGTGCACAAGCTGAGCTATAAACAAATGAATTGGCAAAATTAACACGATGTTGATGAAATTATCGAATTGCCACCATTAGGTGACGAATTCTATTGACAGCTTACTACTCTTGGTATATACAACGAAAAATTGGGTTTGATTAATCCGCTAAGCTAACATTGTTGTGGAGATTGTTATTTCACATGAAAATGCAGAAAGACAAGATTCGAACAACGATCTCACCTGGCAGACAATTAGTCAGAGGATCAGCTACACTTGTGTCTTTTGACGAGTTGTAGTGTGGTGCTAAGGATGGCAATTCTCACTGACGATGCCGGCGAAACGTCTAGGAATGTACCAGATCCATGGTCTGACTCTGGAAAGTATCATGCATATTACGGACTCTGGACAAGGTGCATTCCTCTAGGTCTTCCTGCCGATATGACCAAGTTGAGAAAAAACAGTGTCAAACAACTTTCATACGACAAAATGAGACTGCGATTATACGAAATGCCACACCATCTTGTCTGCTGTATCAGTTATTGTAAAATAAAACTTTTTTCTCCATTGGTCGCATAAGGTGATTCGACGACTGACAGTTTTAAACTCACTTAATCTCGCCGCCAAAAAGGTGTTTTCACCCAACGGGGAAGCTAGCTTCAACTAAGTCTGCGTTTCACCAACTCGCATAATGGGGAGCGGTAACCCTATGGCGGGATGAATACCACTCGGCTGCGGGTCCCTTTGCAAAGAGCTGAAGAGACGAAATTGCAGCCCAACCCATTCAAGTCTGGGTGGGATTATCTTTTGGGAGACGAGCTAAATGGAATATATTGGAGGAGTGGGCAACTTTACTTGCAGTCCTACCTTACATAATGAAACTCTTATTTAGGATAAGGAGACTTTTCGAGAGACAAGGATGAATGTATTTCATTAACCTATCAAGACCATATACTCATTTTATTTTAGAAAAGTCTAATAATATTTATTTCAATTTTCATATTAATGTCAGTAATTCTTGTAGAAAACATTCTTCACTCTAGGTTGTTCAAGGTGAATTAAGGACTGATAGCTGGGTCTTTCCTCTGTGC